GGAAAAAGTCTTATTATTGGCTAGCTGTTAGTTTTAGTTTTAGTAACAGTTTAACGGCACTTGCAACACAATAAAGTCATGTAAATGCCGAAGATTAGAGACGTTACAAGAGAGTAACAAACACAAAAAAAAAGGAGGAGAGATAAGGACGATAGATGTTTGATAGGAAAGAGGAAGCAAACCACACCAGAGCACCCGTCAAACCACCCACGGCTAGCTGTTATGATGTACTAAACTAACAAAAGGAAACATTTTACAAACCTCTGTGAATGTTTTACAAGAGAAGACAAAAGTTAGAAAAACAAATACACAGTTTACTAATGGATCTTCTCTGTGAATGTTGGACTAACATGTTCTTCTACACAGTAGAATTGTAAATGAGCTGATTTATTGATGTCATGCCAATTACTACAGTGCCTGAACTGCAACAGGGAACTGCTGCTTTTTCTTTCCTAATCCTTACTAGCTGACCTTTTCTGTAAATGTTCGACAAAAGCAGACAAAAGTTGGGACAAACAGACAAACAGACTTACTTGAGCTTCTCTGAGAACGTTTTACAAAAGAAGACAAAAGTTGGGACAGACAAACAGACAGACTTACTTGAGCTCCTCTATCTCCTGTATGTATTTCTTGATCAGGTTAGACACGTCTTCGTTGGAGGCTTGGCCTGAAACACGAAACAACACAGGTGTCATCACGTCTGGTTGATATCTCTGTGTGTCTCTCTCTCTTTCTTTCTCTCTCTGTCTCTCCCTGCCTCCCCCCTTCTCTCTCTCTCTCGGCTCTCTCTCTGTCTGTCTTTTTTTCTGACTGTCTGTCTGTCTGTCTATCTCTCTCTCTGCTCTCCCTCTCTATCTTTCCCCCTTTTTTCTCTCACTATCTCTCACTTCCCATCTCTATCTTTTTAAAAAAAAATCTCACAGTCTTTCTCTCTTTTTATTTCTGTGTCTGTCTCTCATAATTTATTTTGTACTTGTACTTGTATACGTAGAAAACAATATATACTATTTTTTTTTCAGAAAAGACTGTGTTCCAAGGTCAGTTGGATTCAGGAAAATCCTTGCCTTCCAAAATAAAAGGAGATAACCGATAGTCTTTACCATGGTGCAAAGCACTTGTTACATCCCTTTGCAAATATGCTGGCACCCTCAACTCTCTTATCTCTTTAAAAAACCCACCAAAAAACAGGTCCTCACTGTACTTGGCTCTCGTATCAGTGGCATAAGGCAAGTGAACTCCCTGCTTTCTGTAGCCTCAAATGTCACAAGCCATTGTCTCAAATGACATATGGCGTGCCTCAAGTCACTCTCACAAGTATCACAACCAACTACCACGACTGTCACATGGTGCTATCTCATTTTTTGACTGTCTCACCATCTCCCAATCCCACCATCTCCCAATCTCCCAACCTCACCATCTCCCAATCCCACCATCTCCCAATCCCACCATCTCCCCATCTCACAATCCCACAATCTCCCAATCTCACCATCAGCCCCCAGCACAGAAGCCAGCGCGGCCTCAGACAACAGATTAGAGTTGCGCGCCTTGAGACCCTCCACCGTTTCCTGTAGCGCCTTCAGACGCTGCCGCAGCTTGTCGTTCTCCGCCTGCAGCATGGCATTCTCCGTCACAAGGTCGTTGACGCACTCAAGGCCGTCAGCGTCCACCGTCCGACGACCCTGCGGTGAACGAGACGAGAACGTGTTAAGAGAATCAAACATATGTGCACAAACACACACATAATTATAAAAGATACACACTGCATGCCATCAGAGTCCAAATTATGATGAGCCTGTGATGAATTTAGCTATTTGTGAGGTATTCTGGTAAAATCAGGCACTTGTCAAAATAATGAAATCAAAGAAACGGGTATTTTTTCGCCATTTTGGACATTTTTATCGAATTTTTGTTTTTTGGCTCAACACCTTTAATGTCCATGTAAAACACATTTCTGTGAGAATAGACTGGAAAACGTTGATTAAAGGCACAAAATATGTAATTTTTCAGTTTTCAACGACTCTCAAGCCATTGAAGTTACCGAACTTTGGCGGCCATTTTCTCTGTAATTTTAACCCTGAAAAAAGGTGACCCCCACCTCCTTCGATCTCAAATATCTCGACTTCTTTTCAAGATAGACGGCTACATTTTTCTTGAAGGTACTGCAAATGAATAAGCTTTTTGGTGATACCAACCAATAATGTCACATGACCAAAAATAGACAAGCGTCTGATTCTAGCGTGTCGAGACAGACTTTCTGTCTAAGCATGGTCAGGAGGCAAAACACACGCACACACACACACACACACACACACACACACACACACACACAGACTCACAGACTTATAACCCTGCAGCTCCTGTGTCAGAGAGGCTATCTCCTGCCTCAACACACACACAGAGACTCACAGACTTATAGTCCTGCAGCTCGCTCCTGTGTCAGAGAGGCTATCTCCTGCCTCAACACACACACACACACACACAGACTCACAGACTTATAGTCCTGCAGCTCCTGAGTCAGAGCTGCTATCTCCTGCCTCAACACACACACAGACACACACACACACACACACACACAAGACTCACAGACTTATAGTCCTGCAGCTCCTGAGTCAGAGCGGCTATCTCCTGCCTCAACACACACACACACACACACACACACTCACAGACTTATAATCCTGCAGCTCCTGAGTCAGAGCGGCTATCTCCTGCCTCAACACACACACAGACACACACACACACACACACACACAGACTCACAGACTTATAGTCCTGCAGCTCCTGAGTCAGAGCGGCTATCTCCTGCCTCAACATGGCCAGTTGTCGGCTCGTCTTGTCCTGGTTGGCCATGACCTTGTTCTTGATGTTGCGGGCGCGGTTGGCGTACTTGAGGGTGTTGAGGGTCTCCATGAAGTCGCGGTCCGACGGGGAGATACAGGCGATCATCAGGGTACGGCTGGGGGAGGGGGGAGGGGGGGAAGATAGTTAGTTATAGTAGAAGGTTTTACGGGGCTCGCAACTACATAAGGTCATATGAGCGCCAAGAGGTGGATGTCAACAGAGAAGTCCTTACAGGGAATCAGACTTACTCTGCTCACCTCTCTAGTTTCAACAACACAAAGTCTACTTCGACTATCAAGGCTCACCGGAAATAGCAGGTCACAAGAGTGTGACAAACATACAAAAGAAGTAGAGGAATGACGATAGTAAGGATTAGGAAAGAAAAAGTAGCAGGTCCCCGTTGTAGATCAGGCACTGTAAATAGCATGACATGATGAATCAGCCCATTTACAAATCTATTGTGCGTAAGAACGAGAAATCCCCCCCCTCCCCCCCGCACCCACCCTTTGGGAATAGCCTAAAGACACTACAGTCAGTGGCACCGCCCCGGTTGGGGGGGGGGGGCGGGAAGACAGGGATGTTGAAAATGACAATGACAATCTCTGTCTCTGTGTTTCATTTGTAGTACTGGGTGTTCAGTATCCTCGCTGCAGTTGGTACGAAAACACACACACACACAAACACACACACATACCTGTTTCCTCCCAGTGAGTCCTGTAACAATCTGGTCAGCTTAGAGTCCCTATACGGCACGTGACTGCCTCGTTTCATCTTGTCGCCCAAGGCAGAGATCACATTGCCCAGTGCCAGCTGAACACAGAGAAAAATATCAAAAATGTATATATATGAAATGTGTGTATATATTTCTATACAATATGAATATTTTTTTTTTTAAACATTAAAAAACTAAATTGTCTGTCAATCTGTCTCTCTCCCTCGCTCCCCCTCTTCCTCCCTCTCCCTCCCTCACTCACTCACCAGCCCACAGTTGATAGAGATCCCTTCCTTCGCTCTATCCCTCCCTCCCTCTCTCACTCACTCCCCCTTCCTCCCTCCCCCCCTCTCCCTCCCTTCCTCCCCCACTCACCAGCCCACAGTTGATAGAGATCCCCTCCCTCCCTCTCTCTCCCTCCCTCCCTCACTGACCAGCCCACAGTTGATAGAGATCCCCTCCCTCCCTCCCTCCCTCTCTCACTGACCAGCCCACAGTTGATAGAGATCCCCTCACTCCCTCCCTCTCTCTCCCTCCCTCCCACACTGACCAGCCCACAGTTGATAGAGATCCCCTCCCTCCCTCCCCCTCCCTCCCTCACTGACCAGCCCACAGTTGATAGAGATCCCCTCCCTCACTCACCAGCCCACAGTTGATAGAGATCCCCTCCTTCGCCCTGTCCCTCCCTCCCTCTCTCCTTCCCTCCCTCACTTACCAGCCCACAGTTGATAGAGATCCCCTCCTTCGCTCTATCCCCCGCTACCCCAGTCCTCCTCCCCCTTTCCCCTCCCTCCCTCCCTCACTCACTAGCCCACAGTTGATAGAGATCCCCTCCTTCGCTCTCTCCCCCATCGCCCCAGTCCTTCCTCTCTCTCCCTCCCTCCCTCCCTCCCTCACTCACCAGCCCACAGTTGATAGAGATCCCCTCCTTCGCTCTCTCCCCCGTCGCCCCCGTCCTCTTCAGTCTCTCGGAGCCCGCCAGATCCACAAAGTGAAACTTGGCCGTCAGGGTCTCGAACTCGGTCTGCGTGGAGTCTGTGTCCTTGCCCTCATCAAGGGGTGGGCCCTGTGGAGAGGGAGGAGATGGGGGAGGGGTGGTTTGGGGTGGGTGGGGGGGAAGGGGAGAGACGAACAAATCATTTAGTTTTAGTAAGAGCTTTACCGCACTTGCAACACAATAAGGTCATATAAGTGCTGAAGATGAAAGATGTTACAAGAGAGTAACAATCACATAAACACAAAAAAGAAGGAGGGGAGATAATGATGATGGATGTTTGACAGGAAAGAAGAAGCAAACCACTCCAAAGCACCCGCTAACCACCCAAGGGGACCATATCTACCACTGAAGCTCACAACAATCAAAGGAGAAGCTCCTGCTGTAATTAAAAATCTGTACACCAACCAACCCGAACCCCCATCCCTCTCTGCCTTTAAAATAAGTATTATTGACCAAAACAAATTACAACATGAAAAAAGACAGCTATAAAGTTAGTCTATTTATATGACAAATAATATTTTTAAAACAATAGACAAGTTCATACGGCAGTTTACAGAAGCAGTTCCACACAGTCTACGGTGTAGTGGTGAGACTCTTATCTTTATACACACTGCACATGAGTTATGAGTTCGATCCCCAAAAAAGTCATTTCATTCAATCTACATGTATGTCTGTTCACCGGAACAAGTCCCATGTAACCTACATTTGAAGGCTGGGTAAAAAAGCAGCCAAATTTTTTTATGGAATAAACAGCGCCGATATTAGCCTGAAACGTTTACAGACATTATTTTTAAAAAAATAAGTATGGGAATTAAAATAACCAGTAAACAAAACCTTAGAAGTTCAATATTAACTCACAAATGAAAGAAACCAAAACCAAAAACCTAGAAATTAGAAAAAAAGGATTACAGAGAACATTGTTGTTACAAAATTTTAATGACAACTGATAGTGGGAATAAAACATACCAGAAAAAAATAAAATTTTTAAAGTGTAACATTACGACACACACACACACACGCACACATACACGTGCGTGCACACACACACGCACACACAAACACACACACACACAAAAACACACACACACACACACACACACACCTCATCCTTGACCACTCTGTGCTGCCGTATGTGCAGGGTGAAGATGGCGTGGGAGCGGGATGACTGGACGTTCATGTTGGTGGACGCCGTGGCTCGAGACAGGGCACCGGACTTGAGGCATTGGAGGGTCTGTGAGAGACACAACGTGCATATATGTAAGATGTGTGGGTGTGGGTGTGGGGGGTGGGTGGGAGGAGACACAAGGTATATAAT